TTTGCTACTACTGTTGTCATTTGTGAACAAGCTTGTCTCCATGAATTGACTGTAAGGTTTTTGAAGTCATGTTCTGTATCTGTTCTGGTTCTCTACTGTGAAGAAACAAATAATCCCAAGGCTTAATGGCTTACACCAACGTTTATTTTGCCCAAAGATCTGAATTCCGGCAGGGTTCAGTGAGAATACCTGTCTTTGCTCCCGCTGGGGATTAGCTGAAGCAGCTTGGAGGTTGGGCTGGAATTCTATGAAGGCTCCATGGCTCACATGTGCAGTGTTTGATGCTGGCTCTCAGCTGTCGGGACCTAGGGGAGAACCCATGGCTGGAGCACACACATGTGGACTTCCTAAGGAGGTGCACCCTGGTTTCCTCAGAGCATGGTATTAGGTTCCCAGGATTCTTAGAGAACTGGGTAAAAATTGTATTACCCAGGCAATACAGTTTCTAGCATCATTTCTGCAGTGCCTACAGGTTTACCCAGATTCCAGGGAAGAGAATGTCCATCTTTTCTCTTAAAACCCACATCATAAAGAGAGCATGTGCAGTGGATATAACCTGAGCCCATCTTTGAAAGATACAATATGCCACATATATATTTTAGTTTCAGACTTGTTCATCCACTTTCCAGACCTGTTTCACAGTTTTGTACACAGTGGGTGCTCAATTAATGCCCAGAACATGGAATTGTTGAATCAAATTTAGGAGAAGCAGCTTTCTGTATTGAGCCAAACTAACATGGGAGAGAGGAGATAGCTCACACAAAATTGGGATTTGGGGTATAAAATCCCACCAGGGATGATTATAAGGAATTGCTAGAGAAGATGCTTAGGAAATGATTCTTTTGGGTAAATGGTGGACGTCTCTCCAGGAGGCTTCTGAGGAGTTCCATTTTGATTGTGAAGAGGAAGGGGGATAGAGCTGGGCTAGGGTTCAAGAGAGCAGATATAGCAAAATGGCAAATCCTTGGGAATTACTGCTTTTGAAAAGCCGTAGAACCTTGGTACTTGTTGATTTTTCCATTGTCTGTGACTTTCGTAGAGTAGGAAAAAGAGAAAACTAGATTTTCCAATGTAGCGAGGCTTTATAACAAGGGACTTGATTTTTGGACTTCAAAGTTTTGCTACTATGTGCTGGAGCTTAACTGCAGTGCTGAAAATGAAATTAGGGTCAGATAACTGAGCAAAACACTTAGGGTTATTACCACCACTGTTCACAATGGCATCATCCTCCCTGTCCCTAGGAATGGTGCAGAGTCCTTGAGTCCCCTCCCATTGCTCCTCAAGCCTGTTGCCCCACAAGGTCCTCTTGCCTTATCTCTCCGCTATGCTCCTTCCTTCTGGTTTTTCCTTTTCCTTCCCTTCAGACACTGTGCTAGTTCAAGCCTTTGTTATCTATTTCTAAGATAGATTATGGCACAAGATGAACTGGTTTCAACTCTCTCCCCCTCAATTATTTTATAAACCCACTGCCAAGTCAATTTTCCTAAAATTAGTTAATTTATGCCTCTGCTTAAAAATAAAATATTGGTAATACCCTTTGATGGTTGAATCAAGCCCAAAGAACTTAAGTGTGTCAGGTCAGGGTCCTTATCAATCAGCCCCAGTCATGTGCATGGTAGTTTTCTCTTAAGCCAACCACACACCTGACACAGCAACCTGGTTGCTGACCCCTCTTCCTGTTTTCTCCTTTGTCGACTCTCCTATCCTCTTATTTCCCTGGCCACCATTGCTCACTGTTGAAATGATACTGATTCTCTTTCATCTTCTTCCTTCAAAGCAGCCCTTGTCCCTATCTAAAGAAGAAGGTGATCTCTGTTCTTTCTGAATGGGTTTGTGTCACTTTCTCTCTGGTACTATAGCAGGGCACTCTGAGCTCTCTTCCTGGATGGAGGCTCATGCAGTACATTGGGGGATGTCCTAACTTCAACTAACTTCAGCATTGTTTCTCCACGATCATAGACACACTTGTAGTAGGGCTTTGCTAAATGTTGTTGTTTGGAATTGCATTTTCACAGATTCACATTGGGGAAAAAAAAAACAAGTTTAATCTGGACCATCAATTTAAGTTTTTATTTATACAGAGTGTGTAAAGCAAATGCGGAGAAAAGATCTGATTGGTTTGATATCTTATTACTGTAATCATAGTTTCTAAGTCAAAAAAATCAAGACGTGATTTTAGAAATGATGTCTACAACATAGTTGTCAAAGGACAAAATACAGTTTCCTTAAAATGTGCTATACGGAATTTGATTCCTTTTGTATGTGGGAGCTTAAAAACTAATGTCATTTTTGGACCCAATCCCCACATACATTAATAAAGCTAATGATTTATTTTCCACTAGCTTGGAATGGGAAGTCTTTAAACACTTTTGGATTGTACATCTTATACCTTTTTGTCCTCATCTGTTTTTTGAATTAACCTCTATCACGTGCTGTATTTATGAGAGAGACCAATAGTGTGTCTGTTTCCCTCTTCATCTATACTAATGAGATTAACTGATAAGAATCAGAGTCACTGAAAATTGTGTATTGAAGTCATAAAATCGGATTTTTAAAGAAAAGTATTTTCTTGTGACTTGTTAACAAAATTCTCTTCTTTTATGTTAAAGGTTATAGTGTTCAAAACCGATTCTCTTTGCACCTTGTGACAATATTTCAGTTACCCTGTTTTCAGTTTTGAATACTTTGCCATTTTTCCATCAGTACCTGTAGGTATCATGTAGTTTTTTTGGTAATGCTATTCATAACACTCTCCTATTCAGTCTCCACCACACACTTAGCCATTATTTGGGGCACAGGTTTTCTTTGAAGCTGGTAGGACCTTTGTGCACAGATGAAACCTGCACAGGAAAGGGGATGCTTCCCACCTTCCTCTCTGTTGGACTTTTTATCACTGCGTGACAATATTTTCCACTCCTCTGTAGATAAGAATCTTTCTGTAGATAAGAATCTTTCTGTAGATTTTCTATATTGAACACCGAGACTAAATGCTGTAAAGCAACATTAGCTATTCTTACCACATTCATACAGATTAAAAGCGAGTCAAAGACAATTAGGTTACTCTGGCAGGAACCCTGACCCACAAACTGATGGTTCTTGATAGTGCCTTTCAGCATGTTCTCTTTGGCAAATGCCAGGAGACAGACTAAGGCAATTTTCTTTTGTCCTCCCACCCCTTTAAAAGAATAGGCTGTTTTCCTTTTCCCACATTCTCCATCCTTTGCTTGTTAAGACTTAAAAGAGTTAGACAAGTGATTCTGCTCAGTTCTTACATGTAGTCACTGGATTTCAAGCAAACTTCTACCCCAGATGTCTTTTCTAACTTGGTAAAACTTCAGAGATGCTCCATAAAGTGCCTTGACATTCCATGCCAATGTTCAATGAGCTTGCCTTTCAGGAAAGTGCCACCTCAGATAGTCACACGGGGTTGGTTTTCATCTGGATGTTCAGGTGCACCAGCTCAGCTCTGTCTGATCCTCCTTTAGAGGACAACAGAAAGCCTGGTAGCTCATGAATCATGCTGACCTCACCAGGACAGACCCCATGATGGAAATCTTACCTCTTTATGACCTCCTTGCCTGAATCCTCTTCAGGATTTCTACAGCCCGGGAAAGGCCAAATTTAGGGCTGCCTTTGCCCTAAAATTATTTTGCATACTTCAATTTCTCCTACATGAAATAAACTCAATGGGAGAAGTTGGCTTTTTAACCACCAGCTCAACTCCAGTTCAGAGATTGAAGGATCTGGAAGGGATACTCCTGAGACAGCTTCTAGTCAAAGAAATTCTCAGTCATCCAACATGTATGTTTTTATGTGCTTGGGATTGAACACTTGGAGACAGATAATACATATTTTCTGAAGATTTATTTGTAAATTATTATCACTATTAAATGAACCTAACAGATTCTCCTTGAACAAGAAAAATTTTGTCTTAGAAAAAATTTATGGTTTCTAATATATTTAGGATTATTTTCTGTCTTATTGGGCAAAAATTTCTGAAGGGAAAAGGCATAATTTTTTTCTAGGTAACACATGTAGGAAGTTTTTGTAATAATACCCAAATTCCTCCTTTTTGATAAACTAAAATTGATAAAAAAAAGACTGTGTTAATGCCCATGTGTACTTTTTATATTTTAATATTGTTTAAGTTAACCTTATATTTCTTGGGTTTCTACCTTAGACATCAAGAACTCAGGAGGGAGAATATTTCTTAGAATATGAGCTCCCTTCTATCTGTATATTTATTACTTTTCATGAGAAAAAAAAACATGTTTCCACATGTGTGTACATATACACTGAATACAATGGGTTTCTATTACCTTGCTATAATTTATTTTCCAATGAAAGTCTAGTTACCATGCTTAAACTTATGTTCTAGCTCCTCTCCTACCTCATCCCAAATAACTAAGCTCAAAAAAAAAAAAAAAACACAAAAAAACCTTAGATTTATCCAATTTCAAAGAACAGAAAAAAAAGGAAATCAGTATTTCATTTGGTGCTGTTTTCTCTTGGACTATTTCCATGTACCGGTAAGAATGAAACCTATTTTTTTCTCCTGCTTTCCTATAATTATGTTTTAGTATTGAGATTTTTTTTGTGTCAGAGTAGATTTCTAGCAATTTGGTAAATGTTTTAAAATCAATCAGTCTTTAAAAAATTTGTCCTGCCAAGACTGTGAACTACATTCCTACATATTCATTTTTGAATTGATGGATGGATGACAGGCAGTAGGCAGCAGGATTGAGCACTCAACGATTCTCATGTCAGGCTTCAGAAATCTTCACAATCTGATCTGAGCACACGAGAAAGAGTAGGAAAAGCGCAAAACCAGAAATATGTATGAGAGTTTGATTTTAAGTCAGAAAATAGCAGCAAAGAATTATTTTTACTAGCAGGAATAGCAAAATAGTAAAGCTAGAAGCCTGGAACTTTTGATGTCATTATGAATAAATGAACTGATTATTTTATGTTTTATTGAAAAGTTATCTGTTATGCCACGTTGAAATCTTAGAGATTAGTTGAAAGAGAATAAAAATGATTGAAAGATTCGAGGGCCAGATTTATGAGGGAAGATGAGAAAAGACAAAGTTCTAATGATATTCTTCCAGTAAAAGGTGGTGAGGTTCGATGGGAATAGCACTAGTTTGGGAAACAGAGGCTGGTGCTTGTCTTACAGCTACTTCCAGTGATCCACTGTGTTTCCACTCAAGTTACCGCATACTGGGATCAAATTGTCCATCTGTGCAGAACGAGAGGATAGTATTGGGTTATTTTTAAGGTTCCCCCGATCCAATTTCATAATGGTTTCTCATCTACGAGAGAGATGAAACAAGAAGAAATGTTCAGAGTATATAGAGTTAATTTGTTAAGGAAAAGAAAAACACACAGCATTTTAAAAGTGAAACACTTTAGATGAAACATCTAAACATTTTTAGATGAAACACTCAGAATTTTGGGAACATTATTCAACCTATGATGTTGGCCCTTGAGTTAAATGCTTACTTTCTCTTGTTTCTTTTGCAAAACCCATTGTGTCTTGCTTATTCTTAGCCATATTCAAACACCAACTCTAAAAGAGAGAAAAAAGAAGAATGAAAATAGAAGAATTAATGCAAGTACAGTTTCTTTAGGGGAGTCCACTGGTTTCCTCTCAGCCTGTCCTACTTTTTTCTTAAACCTGGCTTGCATGCAGACTTGGCGTGTTTCTTTGCAATCTTGTTAGAGTTTTTGCAAAAAAGTTACAAAAAAAAAAAAAAAAGAAAAAGAAAAAGAATAACAATTACAAAACTAAATAGAGCTTTCACTTTGCCAGTACTTAAAAGCAAAATAGAATGGTGTTCCTCTCTGCACCCAAGTCCTACTACAGGAGCTCATGAAAGCAAGTAAATAATCAACTATTACTTACTTGGACAATGACAAAGAGGGCCTCGGGGCTTGTTGAGCAAGCACTAGATGATCTTCCTCGTTCTGTGCAGTGCAAAATTTCCATAACATGATTCCTACCCTAGGGGAAATCACATTTCAGAAGTTGGGAAAAGAAAGTTTGGATTGATTTAAGGTGGTTTGTGGGTCTCCAATCGTTCCCAATTTTCTGTACAAGTACTTTTCCTTCTTTGGGCAGTTTAATAGTTTTGGTTTTTTCAATTTTTTGAGAAAGTAAACCATGTTCCAAAAGGTAAACCCTAAGCAAAGGATACAAAACAGCAGACAAGGGACATAGTGAAGAATCAAAAATCTATAATAGTATGTGTACTTATGAACTATTTACTACTTCAAGCGATTTTTACCCTTTGAAAAATTCCAAGGTATAAGTCATTAGTTAGCAATAGTTGTAAAACAAATCAGAGTTCATTGTACTGTGTACTATTGATCATTTTTCTCCCTACATTTTAGAAAAGATTTTTAGAGTATCTATTTTTAAACAAACAAATAAATAAACAACAACAACAAATCCAAAAGACAGTTAGTAAACCAATCCTTTAAGCCAGGTAAGGAGGAGAATCAATAGGTTGACAAATACCCCCCTTGTACCTCCTGGTTCTAAGGATAAAATTGTGCCTGCTTTCCAAAGTTAAAAAGGTAGGACATGGTCCGTGTGTGCTCATGCTTTTGTGTATAATGTGTACACCATCTTTTGTCAGGTGTTATAAGTGAAACAAAATCTAGGACACAAACATATTTTGCAACCATTTCCGGAGATGAAATACATCAGCATGAGCAAGACTAGAGAATATTAACAATCTGCTTACCAGCAAGTGGAAGTGTTGTCCCACTCACTGATTATGGAGTTGAATATCATATCATAGACAAGAGCGACAGATCGATACAATCTGGCTTTTCCGTCATTCGGTTTCTTAGTTTGTGGCTAGGAGCCAGTGATATATTTTGCTCTCTTTGTTCTGCACTGCACACGTGCTCTGGTAAGCAGCTGCTCTGTCTTCTTTTCGGTGCTCAGCCATGATCAGTGTACTTCTGTGAGGTCCTAGGAGAATTTTCATCAGCCCTGGCCAGTAATTACTGTCGCTCTTCAGACACATCTTTTAGACATCCTGCATTTTTATTCTTCTCCAGCACTATGGAGAAGGGTGGGGCTGGAGTCACAGAGTTTATCAGCTGAACTTAACACCAGCAGGAAAGAAAAAAAGTGCTTCCTCTTCTCCCCGTAAATTGAGTGAGGGCATATTTTTCTGATGCTATCTTAAAACACAGGTTTTGGGTGATTGCATATACTCTAGTTTTTTTTTTTCTTCTCTTTTTCGACCCCAGAATATTTAACATTCTATCATTTCCATTTTGATTTATTCTACCTGGTTTAAACAAAACTAACTGGTCAGGGACAACAGCTGTTTTATCTTCTCGTGCATTCCCACAGGCCCAACATTCCTCTGTCAAGCTTCTGAGCATCCTACCGAAGGAACAAGTGAAAAAACTAGGAAAGAAGTTGTTAATTTTAGTTATTTTTATCTGCTCCATTTCCTTTCATGTCACCTCAGAAACCTCTCTGACATTTAATCAAGTGAATTATCTGTTCCAAATATTTAATTTATTCATTTGTCATATATGTATTCCTAATTTTGTTACACTGGGACATTGTTTAAGGATGTGGGGGTCAAAAATATAAAATGAGCTTTCTGTCCTGATAATTGAATGACCATACAAATAAACAACTGGGTGATGTGTCACGGGATGTATGAGTGAAGCATATACTAAATCCTATAGGAATCCAGGAGTGGTAATTAGACATTCTGGCTGCTATCATCAGGGAATACTTCACAGAGGAGGTGCCATTTGAGGTGAACTACTAACAGTGGATTGAACAGCAGTGACTAGAGACAGGAAGAGGATCAGAGGAAGAGAGAAGAGTTTAAACAAAGAAACTGAGGTTTGATAATGTCAGGGAAACTGTCAGAAGGAAGGCTATTGCATCTCAGAGAAGTAAGCCAGTTTATTTAGATTAAATGCTAAGACTGTCAAAGTAGGTAAAAAAATTAAATTGTACATGATTTTGAATGCAAGGCTAAGAAGTTTAAACTTAATTCAATAGTTTTGGGGCCACTAGATGATCAGATAAGAAGAATTAGGCTGGGGGGACTGTGTATAGGGAGACAAGTTGTGGTAGGTTGTGGTGTGTTGAGGACTGAACCTCATGCCTGAAACAGGAAGATGCTGATGAATACAGCAAGACAGATAGCAGGTATTGCAGAGGAGGATGTGACGAAACATGAGATACTATCAATCAGAAAGAGAAGTCTGAGACAAAAGAGATGGGAATCTATGTTCTCCACTACAGGGTTTTCCCGGCAAGTCTTACTCTTCCTAGACAAGAGTTCAAACCGCACTCCTTGCACTGTGATGCACACCTTCTCCAACTTGGCATTTTTGAAATTAGGATATTTCTTACCATCTATGTGCACATTTAAAGTGACTTTTTTGTTCTTGAAAATAAGTTAGTAAATCGATGGTATATATTTTAATTGGCACCTTATCATCAAAAAAGAATGTAAAATGTGTATTATTATTGTGTTTGAGTTAGGCTTTCAATGCAAAATTATTTCATTACTTATTGCAATTAAGTCAAGAAACAGTATAAATTATATTAAAATATTAATAATATTAATAATAATATGAATCATGTAAATAATATTCAGCAAATACCTACATTGCCCAAAGTAAAAAATCAATGGGAAATTAATCAACTGCCAGAGCTTTGGGCAGATTATGAATGTATTCATCAAATGCTTACTGAGCAGCTCTGATTAAAAAAAAAAAAAGTCACTCATAAGTTCTAGAGGGACCCAGGATAAATGAGATGGAGCTCTGCACACAAGAGAAAAAAAAGACAATTATGCATAATTTTACCAAGGCAAAATGTGACTGATCACAGGACAGACCCCAAAGGCATGCTTTGGATTACCTGAGAAGATTCTCCCATGGCTGCTTGGGAATGTCAGGTCAGTCTTTGAAGACACTGAAGCACGTATCAGTACTTGCTCCAGGGCCTCAGAACCCATGCTTAATCCATTGTCCTTCCTCCTTTGAAGGCATGCACACGGGGATGTGCAACCCTGAGAGGATGCTGGACATGGTCAGAAGAAATGTTGCAAATAGTGTGGAGGAAGGTGTACCTCTGGAGCTGAAGTGATGGAATTCTCTTGGGTTTGGGACCCTGTGTCACTACCACTATGGTATGTGTAATGGAGTTGGCCCATAATGGTCTCCAATAATGTGGCACCGGGGAAGTGTAGCTTGCATTCTCCAGGGAACTTTTGAATGCCTCTATTTTTATATGACTTTGCATTCTCAAAGGTTGTTTCCACTTTCTCTGTCTTTTGCTTTGATCATGATGACATGTCATTACTTTCTGCACTGGGAATATGGGGAAACAGACTCCAAACTGTCACTGACCTTGTCCAATCCCTGTGGCTGGCAGGAAGTAGAGTTAGGGAGGGAAACAAGATGTACTAGACATGCACTACTATCTCCTACTTGGTCTTGGTCCTTCCTTCTTTTCACTGGTTTTATCTCATCAATGTTTTTATTATTTATGTATTTATTTATTTTTACAATCAGAGATGCAAATTGGCTGCTTGACACTGGAAATCAGTATTCCAATGTAAAAGATAACATTCACTTTGGCCAACTGGCAGGACCAGGCTGCCAAGGGTCTGCTAAAGCAGGCGGTAGCTTCTGTTTACTTCCACTGGAAGGAAGAACAGTCCTTGTGGGCTGCCCGTGGAGATGCGGTGTTGGGACTGCGTGGCACATTCTCAGGGCTTCTGCTTTTGGGATGAGGCCAGTTGTCCCTCTGTCTTAGGTTAAACCATACATTTCCTTATGTTTTTGCTCCCAGGTTCCTAGTAAAACAGGAAGTCAACAGGGCCATGGCTAAAGAGAAAGTGTCACTGTTTATAAATTCACCTCAATTCATTGCCACATACTCATTTATACAATTTCAATACTTGTTATTTTAATAACAAAACACAACAACAACAACAAACTTCTCTTGTGCTTTGAGTCAATACTTACCCAAAGTGATACTGGGTAGTCATTAATTTGGGGGCTGAATAGGACATTCCACTTTTAATATTTTCTTAAATATCTCTAAATAGGAAGAATGGATAGGACGAATTCCCAGGACTGACATAACAAATTTTCATAATCTCAGTGGCTTAAAACAACAAATTTTATCTCTCGAAGTTCTGGAAAATAGAAACCTGAAATACAGGGTGCCAGCAGGGAACTGCTCCCCTGAGACTCTGGATACAATCCTTCCTTGCTTCTTTCTAGCTCATGGTGGTGACTGGGTTTATAACTGCAAAACTTGCAATCCCAATGTGTCTCTGTTCTCACAGTGTATTCCTCTCTTATCATAGGGAGACCAATGGGATTGGATTAGAACCACTATAATGACTTCATCTTAATTTGATTACGTCTGCAAAGACCCTATTTCTAAATAAGGCCACTCTTACAGGTATCAGGGGTCAGGACTTACTGGTGCCTTTTTTAATGTGATTTTTTTAATGGGGTGTTCAAAACAAAAATTACTGACTAATGATTGGCATTCTTTCTTTCATTATGACTGCTTATAAACTTATCATAGCATTTTATCAAGGTTATAGATTGCTTTGGGGAACAAGTAGAGCTGTAATAAGGCAAATATTTTGATCTTCTTTGATAAACCCATAGTATTTCTTAGAACCATTATTTGAATCACAATCGTATTAAAACTTATTTTTTCATTATCTATCTCCTCTACTGGATCCTTATCGCCACAAAGCCAGGGGTCATATCTGGCTCCTTGTATATCTGCAGCGTTTGCCCAGGTGTGGAGTGGTGGTACTGCAGAATGGTCAACCTGTCATCATCCTTGTCCTCATCCATCATGTCCTCACTCTGGACATCCTGGGGTTTAGCTGTGTAATCTAAGGCGAGTATGTTAGCTTCAATGTCCTGTCCTCATCTGGGGGATTATGGCAAATGAAGTTCTATTCTCATGACTTCTATGAAATTAAACACATTTACTCATTGCCTTTCTGTTATTATCATTAAATATTCAGTAAGTACTTGTGGAATTCAATGGAAGGAGACTGCAGTTTAGCCATAGTCCTGTCTTTAAACCACTCTGTCTCTTTGGGGAAGACTGGATTTCTGGGGTTTCAGTTTTTCACAAGAAAATAAAGAGAGTTAGATGAAATGATTCTGAGGTTCTTTCTAGTCTGACATTCTGTAAATTCAGCCAGCTTCTTCTTATGATTTTAAGGAGAGAAAGTCGGGGAAGGAAGAAAAGGGAGAGAATAGAAGGAGACAGAGTTAGCCCTTTGATTCTATTCTTTATTGAGGATTATAATAAACAGTATGGATTTATGAAAGAGGGACATACTGTTATTGGTTTTTCTCCTGTGCTTAATACTTTGTGCTGTGTCTTTTTGACTTATTATTTTAATTAAATAAATTTTAGAACTATTTCTTGCCTGCCTGTTGTAACTCAGGCTGTGTGGTAGGTTATGGGCATATAGAAATGATTAATATACTCCTCTTCCCTGTATGGCATTTAAATCTCAAAGCAATTGAAAGTTCATATCTATTTAAAATTTTAAGTA